TTGCAAGCTTACTGTAAGGATTGTCTGCCAAAATAACAGCTTTCTACCAGTTACTGTTTGTGGTACACCATGTCAGAAACATCAACACCAAACTAGGACACATGGAAAACATGATAACACATCAAACAAGGATCATAGGGTAACAGGTGATGTCATTTTCTAATTAATTTAAATTGAATTGTGTGTGTTTGTGCTCACAGAGTGTGATCAGTGTGTGGACACTCTTTACCAATCCCTTCTCAACCTGAATGACTTATGGACAGAGTTATGGTCGGTTGCCGTCCTTCTTGGAGAGCTTCAAGAACGAGACATGGAGCTGCAGCCCTTATCAGTTGTGGTCAATGATACAGCATACATGTTAGCAGAAACAATCAGAGCATATGATCAGCTTCAGGTGGATATTATGAACATCGATCAGGACCAATACAGAAATGATGTTAATACTCTGTATGCAAGGGTATGTTGCTATGCTACTTACTTCACATATGAGGGCAGTATTGAAACTTAGGATCCATTTTACCTGTACTAAAAATATTCCATGATGTGTTTACCACTGTGTATGAGTATGAAAAGAGAATGACTTGTCTAGAACTTAAGTGAATCAGAGACAGATTTTGTACATAAACATTTATTAATGCTCAATTATTATTGTTGTTGTTGTTGTTGTTGTTGTTGTTAATATTTATAGAACAAAATAATTATATTTCATTGAAAAGTTATTTCTTGATAAACCAATAAAAAATTAATAGACTTACTTGCTACGTTTCAGCTACTGTTTCAGTAATAATTACAATTACAGTACAGTAAAACTGATTCATTTGGAGTTTAAATACTGTATGTGAATTTAGGTATTATTATTATTATATTATTTATAGAACAAAATAAGTATATTTCATTGAAAAGTTATTTCTTGATAAACGAATAAAAAAGAACAGACTTACTTGCTACGTTTCAGCTACTGTTTCAGTAATAATTACAATTACAGTAAAAGTGATTCATTTGGAGTTTAAATACTGTATGTGAATTTAGGTAGCAGAATTTGTAATTTTGTATTTGAAAATTGATGATATACAACAACTTGTTCAATTGGATTTATTTTACCTTTACTTTCTTTCAACACAATTAGATTAATTTATTTCATTTTTCAAGGCTGAGAATAATTTAGCAACAGCACTAGCATTGGAGGAAATCGTTTTTGTAAAACTTGGAGAACTTGAGGCATTAAAGGCAGAATCAGATCAGCTGTACATGGATTCCGTGTCTGCTGACGAAGACCTTGATAACTATATAGCATTGCTGGCATTGTGGAATGGAACAAGTTATTCATACTACTCCACTGCAGTTGGCCAATCAGCATCGATTAGTACTGTGTCATTCACCGATGAGCAAGTTGACGTTGCCATGGATTTAGAGTTGAGTCAGAATACTTCAGTGCAAGCTGCTAACTTCTATGCACAGTCCACATCACAGGTAAGAAATTGAAATATTTAACTAATCATCTGGGATCCTGGTGCATTGGATTTCCTGATACTTGGCAGCTTATTCTATGCTCTTTAAGAAAGTTACCTTAGGCCTTCCTGAGCTCTTGCCCTCAATGTATCTTGTTTGTAATAAATTATCTCATTTTCTGAAATGTTTCATATTTTTTCTGTTATCTAAGGGTCAACGTGTCAACAGCTTGCAGGCATCCATTCGTAGCACTGAATCAACTCTGCTAGAAGTACAGACAACAGTTGACGCCACCCATGAAATTCTGGATATTGTTGATGTCACTCTGATGAGGGTGGACGTGGTCCTCAATGCAACTCAGGTACTTATCACATAATTAGAGAAACAGGAATGGAAAGAAAAAGAGTGGAATAGAAATGGGGTGTTTTTTGACAGCAGCACAGCTCATTTGGCTAAGCTAATGGTAGGCTACTATGTGTTTTCGCTCAGCCTTGGAGATTCTTTGGTACATGGTTCAATTACATCCGCTGCAGTCCTTGTGTTTCAGCTAGTGGGCTGAAATGCAAGTATAAAACAATGCGCACCGATTGGATGAACCACTGCATGGCTCACTTGCCAGTGGCGATATGTAGAAG